GGGCGGGCCTGCGGCAGCGGCTGCCGGGGGCTTGAGCGGCTTTCTGAGCTGTCTCCTGCATACTTGGCCGAAGAGTCACGTCCGTTCTGACGTCTGGCTTAGAGCCGTGATTCGCTGGGGGGCAGGGCGGCTTTGGGAGCTCAGTGGCACTGTCCGGATTACAGGAGCACCCGGGGCCCTTTGTGCCTGGTGCTGCTCAGACATAGTGAGCGAGGGTCTCTGCCCTGGGCACAGCTGGGGCTCGGCTGGACCCAGAGACCAGGGCTGCAGAGGGGTAGCCGGGTGCCCAGGAGGCTCTGCCCTGCCAGCATGCTTACTGGGGCATCCTGCCTGTGGGGTGCCAGTCCAACATGTAGCTTCACCTCTGTACCTGAGACCAGGGGCCTGTGTCACGGCTCAGAGCTGGGGCCAGAGCCTGGGTGAGGCCAGAGTTCGGGACCAGGGTCAGTGTTTGGGCTCCGAGCTGGGGGCATGGCTGGCATTAGCCCAAGTACCAAAGCTGGACTGGGACTGGAGTCCGGGTTCAGTGGCGGAAGCCAGGAGTCCAGGAGAGAGTCAGTCACAAGGCAGCTCTGTCGCCACGGCTGGGCGGGGGCGGCTTTGCTGCATGGCTGCTTCCTGGAACTGCAGCTGGACCTTCGTCTAGCCCAGCGTTTCTCACCCCGCGGTACGAGGCCCCTCGGGGACGGGAGAGAAGTCTGGGGGGCTCGTAACACGACTGACGTGGAGAAAACTGAGTGTTTGGTTTAAGTTTTTCAGCGTTTTATTCTTTTTGTACTTTTTACACCCAAAACTGTCATCGCCCGCCCAGCTGCGCTTAGGGTGGTTAAACAAATGGGTTTCTAGCCCAGCGTTTCTCACCCCGCGGTACGAGGCCCCTCGGGGACGGGAGAGAAGTCTGGGGGGCTCGTAACACGACTGACGTGGAGAAAACTGAGTGTTTGGTTTAAGTTTTTCAGCGTTTTATTCTTTTTGTACTTTTTACACCCAAAACTGTCATCGCCCGCCCAGCTGCGCTTAGGGTGGTTAAACAAATGGGTTGCAATAGTAGAAAACCCGCAGGTCCTGGGGGTGTTTCTCGTTTGTTTCGGAAGAAGGGTGCTTCCGAAAGGTGGAGAAACCCTGGCCTGGTCCCATCCCTGCACAGCGCCGTAGAGACAGACGAGGTCACCCAGCCCAGCGGGGCGGCGGCGGGGCCAGGTGCCCTGCCCTGTGCTCCTGACAGCCTGCCCCAGGCCCCGTGGCGGGGACGCTGGCCGGAGGGAAGTGGCCCGGGAGGCGAACGCTGCAGGCGTGTTTCACAGAGAGCCTCTCGCGCACCTGGCCCTGCGCCTGCGCTGAGGTCGCAGGCCCGTGTTGTGCGATCTGCTGGCACGTTGCGCGCGGGGTTCCCG